AACTCGTTTCTTTTAGACCAGAAACTCTGAAACTCAGTGCCAGGACAGCTCTCTGGCCATCCAGATAAAACCCAAGAAAGGACACGTGAAAGTGTGTGATCTGTGCCTGATTCAGCGGCTACATCTCTGGCATTCAAAGGAGACTCGGGCAAGGCCTGAATGGAGAGAAGATTGATAGCTGGAGCAGGGTCAGCTTCTATTACCGGCAGGGGTAACCTACTGAGGCCATCAGCATGGCCCATTTCCTTCCCAGGTTTATGAAGTAGGGAGAAATCATAGGCAGAAAGAAAGATAGACCATCTTAGCATTCTGGGGGAGATGATTTGGGGAGTTTGCTTATGTGTGGTCAACAGTCCCAACAAAGGCTTATGGTCAGTGAAGACCGTGAAATGCCTGCCATATAAAAAATCATGGAATTTTTTAATTCCAGCAACCATAGCTAAAGCCTCCCTGTCTATTTGAGCATAATTACGCTCAGCAACAGACAAGGTTCTGGAGTAGTATGCAACAGGAACCTGAGTTCCATCTGCCCTGAGGTGGCTTAGTACAGCTCCTACCCCATAAGGAGAAGCATCACAAGCGATGCACACAGGAAGGGATTCATTGAAATGTGCGAGTACACTGTTAGAAGTGAGTAAGGCCTTGACCTCATTGAAACTTGCCTCATGTTTTTGTGACCACTGCCACACTGCCTGTTTATCTAATAGCCTGTGAAGAGGCTCAGCTACACTAGCCTTATGTGGAAGAAAGGAATTGTAGAAATTCAGAAGGCCCAGGAAAGCCTGTAGTTCGGCCTTAGACTTTGGCCTGGGAGCATGCATAATAGCTTTCAGTTTGGATTCAGCAGGGTGAATCCCAGTAGCATCAATTTTGAATCCCAGAAAATCAGTAGAAGGCGCCCCAATTTTACATTTGTCCTTCTTAAGCTTGAGGCCCGTTTTCCTGAACCTTAACAGGACAGCCCTTAATCTCTCAGCTAAATTGTGTGTAGAATCTCCTGCAATTAAGACATCATCAAAATAGGGGCAAACCCCTGGTATACCCCGTAGTGTGTTTTCCATTACTCTTTGGAAAATTCCAGGAGCGACATTTACTCCAAATTGTAGCCTCTTCACCTTGAAGGCCCCTCTGTGGGTCACAATGGTCTGCGCTACAGCAGTATCATCATCAACAGGCAGCTGTTGATATGCCTGAGCTAGGTCAAGCTTTGCAAAAACGCGCCCCCCCTTGAGGGAGGCCAGAATATGACTGACCACAGGAACAGGATAGGCATGTTGCTGCAATGCCTTATTCAGAGTGCATTTGTAATCAGCACAGATGCGAATGTCCCCATTTGCCTTGAGAGGCGTGACAATGGGGGTTTCCCAGGGACTGGAGTCAACAGGTTCTAGAACTCCTTGCTGAATCAGTTTGTCCAACTCAGTGTCAATTTTACTTTTTAAAGCAAAAGGGACCCTTCTTGCTTTAATTCTAATGGGAGTGACAGTGGGGTCTAGTTTTAATGACACAGGGGGTCCTTTGTATGTGCCCAGCTGGGGGCTGAACACATCTGCAAATTCTTTGCAGACTTCTTGTAGGTCAAGTGTTTGCAGACTATTGAGCCCTGTGACGTGTATTCCCAAGGCCTCAAACCAATCGAGTCCTATGAGACTCGTTCGTTCACCCCCTACTACTATTAGATCTAGTGGACCTTCAAAATCCTTATACTGTACGTTAAGGGTGGCCTCCCCCTTAACACACACTCTGGAGTTTTGAAAGTCTGTTAACACAATGTCAGAAGGCCTCAGCTTGGCCTGAGTTCCACTACCGGAACAAATCTTCCTAAACGTTTGCATGGAAATGATTGAAAGTGCAGACCCCGTATCCAGTTCCATAGCCAATGGAACCCCTTGTAGCTTCACCTTAAGTGACAGCTTTTTCTTAATGGGCTTGTGTGTGCCTGTCCTATAGATGCTTCTTCGCGAAGCGCAAAACCCCACCCTGTTTTGGCTGGGAACCCTGGTACCTTTCAGGCGCAATTCTTCCTGAGGTTGTACCTTCTGACGGCCCAGGCACACAGCTGCAATGTGTCCTTGTTTTCCGCACGCCCTGCAGATAGCGGAGTGGAACTTGCAGTCGGTTCTCTTGTGGCGACCTCCACAACCGATGCACTTGGGGAGAGCTGAAGAGCTTCCTTTTTGTTTCCCTTCCTTTGTGGGGTGGAGACGGTCCACTTCCTTGTCAGGATCCTCCTCAGAGTTCCTTTGGACTTCTTCCTGGTGCATGGACCCAGCATCTGGACTGTTTCTGATCGGCCGCATGTTCTTGATGGCGCCGCCCACTGCTTCTTCTGCGGTGACCTCTCTCAAGGCATCTTGGAATGACAAGTCCTCCTTGGCAAAAAGTCTCTGTTGTAACTCTCTATGCCTTAGACCGCATACAAATCTGTCCCTCAGTCATTCTTCAAGGTCTTTGAACTCGCAATGTTTGGCGGCTTTCCTCAACGTGGCGATGTACTCCTTGGCCGATTCTCCGGGTCGTTGATCCCTCTGCTCGAAGATGTGGCACCACGCGATGATGGAATCTTGGGCTGGAAGTGCTCCTTCAGTAGCTTTTTTAGATCTGCGTAGCTGACAGACTCTAGAGGGACAGGTTCTGCAAGGTTCTCAGCGATTTTGAATGCGTCTTGACCGCAAACGCACAGCATGGTGGCAGCCTTTAAACTATCTTCCCGTACTTGATTTACCTTGAGGTAATTTTCCACCCTGGCTACGTAGGACTCCCACCTCTCTGGATGTGAGACGTCGAATTCCGAAAGCCTTCCAATTTTTGCCATTTTGTAAAAGGAAGGGTCTATCTGCCAGCCTACCCCCGAATGCACGCTGGATTGGCGGGTAGCTGCCGAGTCAACGCCGTTCCTGCCACTCAGGACTCACTTGGGTAAGCTTACACCTTTTCGATTGATGTAAGGCATCCCACCTTCGTCGCCAGTGTTGCATCCTTCGCGAAATGGCAAGACACGAGAAGCAGTTGTAGTTCTCAAGACTTCTTTATTCTTAGTTCAGCTTACAGTTGGAAGACGCCGGCAACGCCCAAAACTCTTGGCCTCTTATATAGGCCATTCCCGGGTCAATCTGCAACTTTTGGCGCGCCAGCACTTGCGCATGCGCACAAGTACTGGCGACAGCCTGTCTGGTCCTGGGCAACTTGCACCTGTCCGGGACCGTTTGCAATGCCCCGAGCCTGCTTGCACAGGCTCAGGACATAACAATAAGGCTTTTTTTTTCTTTTATCTTTGGCCCTTCTTCTAACTGAGGGCCTTCCATGTGGGAATACTGATGCAGTAAATCAATGAAATGACTAATGGTGCAGTAGAGGCTTGCAATTACAAATTGTTTTAATTGATTCCTGTACAAGTGACATTATATTCATGGGCATGGAACCTTTGTTTCAAGGCAGTGAAACAATGTGCTACTGCCTTGTGCTTGATATATCTGTGTCCTCATTTGGCGAATTTCTGACTTGCAGTATTGTACGGCTCCTAGCAACATGTTGGTATAATTAAGGTAAAAGAGCCTGAATGCACAATTATCAGCATGCCAGCATCAGTAGTTTGAAAGACAGTGAAGGTCTGCCATCATGACAAGCAAAGCAACAGCTATTATTTTAGTTTTCTGAAGAGGGGAAAGAGATGTGTGTTTAAGCATGGAACAGCAAAGGTAGAATCACATATCCCATTAATGGCCAGGAAGTAAGTACTGATTGCTGACCACAATCTGAATTCAACTATAGGTCAGAAAGGGTAAGGAACAGCTGGCTGACAGTTCCTTGTGATGTTAGATTTGGAAAGATCTTATTAATAGCATCCTGGTATCTGAATAGATCTTGAAGTAGTCAGTCCAGCCCATGTTTATTTCATATTTGATTTGGCATGCTGAATTCAGATGTTTTGGAAAATAAGTTTAGTTGTCTGGAAAAACCCAACAGAAATATTTTCTAACTGATCACGTCTCATTTTCTTATTATTTTTTTCAATCATGAAACCACAAACTTTGAATACAATGCTCAGAAAAGTTTGCTCGTTCTGTTTGAAAGTCTCCTTTTTGCTTACCATAATCTTGATACAATTCTTCTGAACCTCAACTGTGATTAAAAGATCAGGATTGTCTGTGGACACATATTTCCTTCGTCAATTTTCTCTTTTTCTGTGCAAGTTTCCAAAACTTCCTCTAATATATTAAAGAACATGGACACATATTGATTCTTGAGCAACAGTACAGTTGTAAAATTTTAACTCTTATTAATAGTAGTTAGGTTTGTACCTTCCAAATGTTTCAGGATTGCAGTTCCCAAAACTTCAGAAAGGGTATTGAGAAGACCAAAAGGAACATTATTTAAGAATATTTCATAAGAGATTTGTCTTATTAAATCCTGTTGAACCTTTGTATTTGCTCTCTATGGCCTATAAGGTTCATGCAATATGAACATAATGTGATTTCTAAACCATGGTTTGTAGGTTTTCATATCCATTGTGTTTTGTTTAATAAACCATGATTAAAATAATAATAGGTTTATACAATGTGTGAACCAGGTGGTATGTTAATACATTTTCAAGCAGAATAACAGAATAGCATTAAAAATTAATTTCATCGCCCAATCTGTTTAGGTATTCTATCAAATGTATAAACATTTTCTCTCTTACTAATGTTGGTCAATATTTCTGGATCACCAAACATGCCCAATTCTCACTCGTTTGGTTTTAATGGAGGGTTTGGAAGATCCTAATGTTCCTGCCTTGTTTTTCAGAGCTTCCCTTTTAGCTGCAATTTTGTTGACATTGACCAGCACAATTTATGTTGAACCTACTGAAATGAAGTTTTAACAAATACGATGCATCTGAGCAAAGTATTGCAGCAATTTTTTAAACCATTTTAGCTTTGCATTTTAAAATATCCTTAAACAGTTATCTGAAACTACACTGATACCACTTTGATTTGGGTTTGCTTCCTTTTATTCTGCAGTGGTTCCTCTCACAAGGTGGAAAAGATGCTAAAAGATAACACAAAAGAGTACGGTTGTGTTTGGAAACCAAGAGCAGCAATTCTACTGCAGGAAGATCTGGGCTGAAAAAAAAATCTGCTTTTTGTGAGATAAACCTCTTTTCCACTCCCTCCCTTCTTTCACTTCTCTTGATCTCGCTGTTTGTGAGTACTCAAAGATGATTTAAGAATGTCCAATGGTACAAAAGAAAATATTTCTGTTCCACAGATTCCCTTCCATTTTCACAATGACCTTGAAGTGAGGATAACTCCAGGCCATGTACATAGGCAACTTTGTACTACTGCTTCTCTTGTTGATGCTGATGATGGACAACTCACTGACATACGGTAAGAGACACAACTGAGAACAATCTTCTTCAGAGTAATAGCAATATGTGCATGAATCCTCTTTCTAGATGCTGTGGAAAACTATAGCTCTTTTTAGATGAATATATGAAACAAGATATGAGCTTGGTACTCTTCATCCATATCTTATTAAAGCTCTAATTCTGTAAAACATATTTATGACCAAGTTATTAATTTATGCAGGACAAAAATCAATAGAGGTTTTTCAGTTCTACTCCCTGTGTTTATGTGTTTGAATAGTATAGATACACAATTATATGTATATTTTCTCAAGCTAAGTCCAGCTGATTAGAATGTAGCTTCCTAGCAGGTTTGCGCAGCCTACTTGTTTTAATTTAACTACATACAAGTGCACTTGTATGTAAACACTTGTAAATGTTTAACACATTTTAACATGATAAAAAAAGCAATTTGGAGTTTAATTTATGAAATGTGCAAAAACAGTAAATGTTTATATATTTTTTTCAAAAATGCAAAAATGTGTGTATTGCAGTGTCTGTGTGTATTCATACATGCACATGTATATACTACAAAAATAGAAATGATCAAAGCAAACATGAAATGTATATTATGAAAAACAAGTTTATAGATTTAAGTTTCATATTGCTTTGTGCCCATCAACATTCACTGTGAAAACCACTTGGGGATATTTTGCAGAACCTTAGTTTACACCTTTTTCCAAACATGTGGGAATTTGGAATAGAGTGTCAAAGGGAATGATAGTGCCATCTATGGTGATTTCAACTTGCATTGTTTTTAAAATTTTATTATGGTTGCCTTAATCTTGACTTAGCCTGGAAATCCAAAACTTCTTGAGCAAATTTGGGCATGGTTATAAAACCAGATGGCTGGTCTGGGATGAGATGCAAATTGGAAGCCAAGGAGGATGTAGGTAGAGAATTTTTAATGACAAAATAATAATTATTAGATTTTATCCCACTTTTTAGTATATAATTCAAGGTGGACAACATACCTAATACTCCTTCTTCCTATTCCCCCTGAACAACAACCCTTTGAGGATGATTGGGCTGAGAATGAGTGATTGGCCCAAAACTACCCAGCCTAAGGCAAGACTAGAACTCATAATCTCCTGGTTTCTAGGCCAGCACCTTAACCACTGTACCAAACTGGGTCTTTTGAATTGTTGCTTTATTGGCATAGCAGAGTGCCAGGTTCCAGATATTTTTTTATATCAGCTTCTGTTGCTTTCCATATGGATTTACCCCACCAGTCTGTCTTCACCATCTCCAGATGCACACCCTGCTAACCGCCAGGCAATGTGGACCTCTGGATCTGGTTCTTGGGCAGAGAGTATTCAAAGGTTAATCCACCATGGCTGAGTCTTGTGAGAATCTGAATTCTGATAAAAAAAGTCGACAAATACATTTATCATTTACCATTGTAAGGAACTGTATACAAAAGAGTTCGAGAATTCCTGGCTTTACTTGAATGTTTTGTCTAACTTGATCAAAGGAGTTTTGCTTCCCCTTTAAATGTGGTTCTTTATGGACTGCCACTTCTCCTTTAACTTCTGTTTTTCTTGTCCACGTGAAAAGAACAAAGGTTCTTTCAAATGAGTTGACACACTACATATAACAGACATATCAAACACAAGGCCTGGGGGCCAGATGCAGCCCACAATGTGGTTTCATGTGGCCCACGAAGCCATCCTGGAAACAGTGAGGGAATGGCCCCCGCTGCCTTGGCCCCGACCCAGGCCACCTGGGAGCCAATGTACAATTTTATGGTGGCCATCTATGTTGAAACACATTCAGTCTTAGCTCCACAAGGCCATCTGGAAACAGCAAGGGACTGGCCCCTGCTGCATTGGCCCTGCCCCCTAGGCACATGTTGGGGAGTTGTCACCCTTTGTGAGGAATGAAGAAATGCACTATCGCCTGGAAGTGGCCAGCAAATGGCCCTCATCTACTTCACATATCCGGCTTGATGGGTTCTGGGGGAGGGGTTTCAGCAGGGAGTGGGCGCTCTCCTCACAGCGCCAAGAGCTGAGCCAGGCAGCACAAATTCAAAAAGAATTGTGCCACTGCTCAGCCCCCAGCCTGCCCAGTTTCAGCAGGCAGCAAGGTGCAAAGCTGGCGAGCTTCGTACTGCCTGGCTCAGCCTCTCGGCGCTATGAGGAAAGCACCCGCTGCCTGCCGAAACTTGGCAGGCTGGGGGCTGGGCAGCATTGCGCAGGTAACATTGACTCTCACGTTGCTCATGGCATCCCCTCCCCCAAAGCCAACCAGATATGTGAAATAGGCAAGGGCCATGTGCTGGCCACTTCCAGTCGATAGTGCATTTCTTCATTCCTCATGAAGGGTAACACCTCCCCAGCTGTGTTTCTTGCCTGTTTTTCTCCCTCCCTCATCTTAGATATTTTCCCACCACTCTATTCTTAGGAAGGAAGGAAGGAGGGAGAGAGGGAAGGAAGGAAGGAAGGAGAGAGAGGGTCTGAGGGAAGTCCTGCCTTAGTCCTGCCCTGCTGCCCTTTCACCATCCCCTTGCCCCATCCTCCTGGCGTATCCTGGGGGTCTCCCATCCTATCCTCCCATCCTATTGGATACAAAGCCGGGTCTCGTCCCATGGAGAGGGAGTGGGCCTCCCTCTGACTTTGCCCTCATACCCATCATGAGCAACCTAGCTAAGGAGAGCAAGCACAGCAGCAGCAGCCTTGAGGAGGAGTTAAGTGCAGCTGGGCACCCCCTTGGGGTAGTAGGGCTGGGCTTTGTGCTGCAGGTGCTTGAGGGCCAGGTTGGGCATTTGACCTCTGATGCCCAGGGCTCTGGGAAACCCACGGCACCATCCAGCCCCCCTTGCATGGCCTGAGAGATACAGTGAGACTCTTCCAGTGGACCATGCCTTGGCGCTTGCCCTGGTCCCACCCTTAGATCTGTCCCACTCCTGCCCAGGCCCCCACAAGCACCTTTGATGCGAATAATGTAGAGCTGGCCATGCCCACCCAGTAGGCCACACCCACTCCAGCTACACCCACCCAGTAGGCTGTGCCCACCCTGGCCACACCCAGCCCCCCGAGGACAACTGCAATGCTGATGCGGCCCACAATGAAATTGAGTTTGACACCCCTGACATATAAGGAATTGAAATGGGAAGGGGAGAGCTTACAATATATATTTCAAAGCCCTGAAAAGGGAAGATTATTTTTTTTCTCAGTATTGTGCTACTCATATTTGTCCCTTACTAATATTTAAATGATGGGGCTGTTTGGTTTATCTATCAAGAAGACTGTTCATAAACTTTGAGTCCTTAACGTGATATCCTTTGGACTTCTCACTCCCCTACCTGGCATTCTGTTTCTGACCATTCTATGGTGGTAGCACTTTTTATTGGGAACAAACTAGTAGTCCCAAAGCCAATACCCCAAGACAACTTTGCATAATTCTAAATATCTTTGCTGGCTGCTGAAGTCGTAGGTTTATTATCATTCATGTTCAAAAGCTTACGTGTTCATGACATTTAAATAAGACTTATAAAAAATTAACCTGTGAAAGGGAAAAAAATCCCCCACAAAAAAATTGATAAAAGATATCTGTTACATATTGCGTACATTGCTACTACTGAGATACATAAGTTATGCAAAACATAATTTCCATCTTGCTTTTCTCTCTCAGATTCTGAGCATGATAACTGCACCACCATTACTATTGAAAGAGGTACAAAATACTATAAAAATCTTGGTGACTCAGCCACTCTAGAGTGCCCGGTGACCTACTGCAACAAAAAGCCTGAAATGAATTGGTATATGTGGAACAAGAGCAAAAAGAAGTTCCATATTTTGTATCCTGAAAAAGAATACTGGATAAGTGAAAAGAAATTTGTTTTGAATTTTCAATCAGTTAGTAAAAATGACAGTGGGCAATATCGTTGTGAAGCGATTGTAAGAAAAAATAAACTTACGAGTCACGTTATAGAATTAATTGTTCAAGGTAAGTATTGGGGCAATATTTATCCAATTTATCACTTAAAGCTCTTGAACCACCAATCCTCACACAACTTAGTTCAGCGTAATGCCTTGGGAGTAGGACAAGTTATGAAGTTGGGAAATTGAGAAGAGACAGACACTAAAATATTACCGTAAATGCCGGCGTATAAGACGACTTCTGCGAGCGCTGAAATCGGCGCCAAAGATGGGGGTCATCTTATACGCCGAGTCGTCTTATACGCCGGAAATACTGGTAGTTTCCGGCGTATAAGACGACGTTCTAGGAGTGCGGCCCGGCTATAAAGACGGGAGTCGTCTTATACTCCGGGTCGCCTAATACGGCGGCATATACGGTAATAGCTCATTCAATCTTCTGATATTATCAGCCAATGACTCTTTTTTTGTTATTTTGCTCAAAAAATATCAACATTATCTTCAGTAATGTGATTATCTATATACTATATTGAAAAAAATCTATTTTTTCAAAAATCTATGTTCTCATTCTAAATAAGTGACTAATGTAGTTAACAGATCAAATACTGTAAAGATAATAAATTTAAGCTTAAAATAAAACAAACAAAACTACTCTTCGAACAAGATGTTCAGGGAATAGAAATTTATTCTGTTGAGGATGAGATCACGTTCTGGTTCACAATTTAGGTATAGGCCTAAATATGAATGTCCAGTTTTTGAGATTGCCAAATCTGTATTCACCAGTTAAAAAGTAGTAGATTACTACTGTTCCTTGATATGTTAGTTTTGGCTAATAAATGCTCCAATTATGTAATTTTGAACCCTAATTTGAGTTACCTTTGAAAGATATCTGGAAATTTCAGCTGATCCAGAAGACTTGATTGAGACTAATTATAAAAAACATAAAACCTCATTCAGTCCACTTCCAGGCACAATTTGGAGGGATAACTATAACTTACAAAATCTTGCAGTTTAGGAGCAGACTACTTGAAAAAGTTCATTTTTCCATAGCAGTCTGCATGCGTTTCGTTAAATTATTAGGATTGTCAGAGGATCTTTCTAATACCTGCTCTCATGTTTTGGAACTGCTGGGCAAAGCAGAACAAATTAGTTCCAACTTAGTTGCTGTAATAGTCAAAAATATATTTGCTGAGCTTAATTTAAAGGCTGATTTGTTGTTTTTCATCTTCCAACAATGATGACTACTCTCTGTCTCTGTCTCTCTTTCTCAGTGTGTGTATGTGTGTGTTGTAGCTTCAAGTCAGTATTGACTTCTGGTGACCACTTGAATAAGTCTCTGCAGTTTTCTTGGCAATATTTTGGAAGTTGTCTGCCATTGCCTTCTTCCAGGATTGACAGAGAGTGACCTGCCCAAGATTATCCAATTCTCCTTATGCCTAGGGCCAGACTATTCACAGAATCCTAGTTTCTAGCTTGGTGTTTTAACCACTACAGCAACCTAGTTCTCGTATTCCCAAATGCTTGTGTTATTTAGTAAGAAATATGATGTTTAACAGGGCAATGGTTCACAGGAAAGATAAACTCTCCAATGCTTTATACATCTCAAACAGTCTCCTTGCCAGCTGTGATTAATATGCTGATAATTTCATTTTAAAAGAAAACAAGGATCCAGAAATACATTTTATGGCTGAATGCATCATCCAATTCATCATCAAGCATCTGTTTTGTTCCTAAATTTCAATTCCTTGTGTTCAACCTTCAAATTGCTTCTCTGATTGAACTCAGCATTTCTGTTTTTCCTTTCAAGTCCAAATTTATAGGAACTTGGACATTAAAGTATGACATATTAGTGATAATTGGCCATGTTCGAAGACTATAATGCGCCTTAAAAAGTTACAGTAATAATCGTCATAGCTGTATTCACACAGTACTGAACATTAGAGCCAAGCAAACACATTGCAAATTGCCACAAGACATAAACTTGGGTTTATCTATAGCTGGTGTCCCAAAAGTGCTTTTTCAAAAGGCAACGGGCTTTGTTTTTCCTTGAAAATGTTTCACTTCTCATCCAGTTTGAAGAACTGAAAAAGCTTCTTGGATGAGAAACAAAAAGTCTTCAAGGAAAAACAAAGTCCAGTTGCCTTTTGAAAAAGCACCTTTGAGACAGCCATGATCTGTCTGATTGAGAATCTCCATAGACATATAGTCTGGTATCTTAATATTTCTTTAGTAAAAGCTTAAAAATAATTGTGAAGACTGAATTGGATCAGGGAAATAGAGATCTATTTGGAGACTTGGAGACTTCTTCTCACACAGCAAATAGTGCTGGTAAAGAGGAATACTTATAAAACCCCATCCCCAACACGAAGAAATGTGCTGACACATTTTCTTTCAACCTGCAATTTATTCCTTCAAGTAACTTTTCTGACTTTTTAGATTTATTGATACTATTATATCTATAGTGCCTCCTGGAACCTCTTTGAACTAAGCAGCAACAAATTGCCTTTATTCAAAACTATGCTATTATTGCTTTGAATGTTAATGAAAGTTTACATGCATTGTCTGTATAGATCACAGTAACTCGTCAGTGTTTCTAAATGGTACAAATACTACAGAAGATCAGAAACAACCTAAAAAGAACAAGATGTTGATTATGATTTCATCCCTCGGTACTCTGTTCCTCATTGTTGGCTGCTTTGGATGGCTGTGTTTCACAAAGAGGCATCAAGGTATGTTATAGAGGGCTTTTTTTCTCATAGAACGCCCAGAACGAAGTTCCGGCACCATTTTTTGATGGAACCTTGTAGGGTAGGCAAGGCGGGTTGTATGATGTGTGTGAGTTCCGGCACCATTTTTTTTTTTTTTAGAAAAAAAGCACTGGTTATAGAAATAATTTCATTTTTTCAATTCTCAGTTGGTTCCACAATCAGAGATTTTCCAGTCTCTGCCTTTTGCTTTCAAGTCATCTTTTAATTTCTTTTGTATGCTTTTGGAAGTATTAATTAGGCTACTTAGTTGATGTTTATGAAACTCTTAAGTAAAGGTTGTTTATTTCAAATATTAATGTCTTGTTCTATGAAGAGAAAAGGACATTGGGATTTGAAGTAAAAAAAATTATTTCAGAAACAATTTAGATTTACTTTAAAAGATACTGAGATGCTTTTCTTTATAAGAAAATATATTTATGAACAATTATAGTTATTTTAACAACATGCTGTCTTTTCCTTCTCAGTAAAAAACACACAGAAAGTAAAAAATCCAGAAAGTGGAAATAACAGGGTATGTTTGTTATTAACGTATCTTTATTTTTTTATTCTCATCCTTCCCTATGTGTGCCCTTGCAGATGTAGCTAAACAACACTATCTGTAATAGAGAGTTATCAGCAGGAAAATACACCTCTTGTTCATTTAGTCTTAGAATGCTGATGAATTGGAGCAAAAAAATGAATCACTCACATTGCTACATTTCATTGAATATCATACTTTCCTGTCTCTCTTCCAAATACTTAATATACATAATCATGTTTTTCTTCTTACAATCTTCTCATATCATCCTTTCAGTGTAGGCCAGGTCAGGAAATAGGCTTCAAAAGAAAACATGGATTTTTATTTTATTGTTATAGACTACAGTAACAGACATCAGACAGTGTTTTCCCTTCCCTCCCTCTTATGTGAAAGAGAGTTAAAGTGGTGTTACCTTAAGTTTCTTTTTCACACTGTCTTCACTTTTTGGATTTAATTCATATTTTCATAATTGACATATTCCTTCTCTTATCCCTGTATTTCTTTCTACTTCCCCCAAATATATATAGTGTGAAGATAAAGGCCTTTACTTCCAGACCATTATCATTTGTACAATGATTGATTTTTTTCCATTCATGCACAATTTAAGATGATTCAGCTTTTGAGTAAACAGTTTAGTAATATTATCTTTCTAATGGTTTATACCATGCCATCAGTGCATAGTACATCACACAGAACTGCATAAAAAAGATTTGTGTTACCAGATTGCCTGTAATTTTAACATTAGAAAAACGGAGTGATGGTGGTAGAAGGAAAGAATAAGAGAACTCTCAACAATTTTTTATGTTCATTCATTCCCTTAGTAGGATGTTCAGTTCCATAGAAATTTTGTTCCTAGATTCTTTTTTATGAAGTGTTTAAAATTAACATCAAATTGTTATTGCTCTTTTGTTTGCTGACAATTAACTATGCTTATCTATTATATTCTCTATTTCTTGTTACTGTTACATTTGCTATAAGAACACCCAACACTGCAATGATAGCACATCTCATATCTCAGATGAGGGAGCCATCTCTAATGAAGATTCCATGCCTTACTTGTTTCAAGTTCCCACTGGGAATCAAGACAATTACCAGACGGCATCTAGAACTGATCTAAGTTCCATGAAGTTCAATGAAGGTCTACCACGATATAAAGAGGACCCACTTATTTATGCAACATTAAGCCATGGAGAACTTTTTCAGAGAAGCAAGCCCTCTGAAGAAACACAATTTACAGAATATGCCATCATTAGACTGAAGAACTAAAGGTGGACATTATTCATTCATTAGTATTATTTTATGTTCTCTAGTATGGTTTCGCAAGCTTATCCACAAACACCACTTATACAGACTATTTCTGCTTGGAACATTCTTCTGGAACGAAATAACTATTTATTTTCCAGATAATGCATGTCTAAAATGAATTACATTTTCTATGCCATTGCTCTCTATATTTCTGTGCGGCTATTTGATATATCTCTGTACAACCAGACATTTGCTTATCCCACTAGCTGCCTCAGCAATTGGGATTCCTGTTGTCCCATTTTGGGGCACCCTATCTGACATGTTTGAGACCCTTCTCATAGAATTTTATTGGTGAGTTTTTACAGAGTAGATCTCCAGGTCTTTCTCCAATCCTGTAATCCTTTTCAACAATTGCCCAGGGACAGCAACTATCACAGTCCTTGTAAACCTTGGTGATGACCAATCTAACATGGGATTCTTTTTCTGTTGTCTCATCATGATTAATGAGTTTGTGGATACTCTTAGTCTGGCTTTTCAGTTGAGACCTATCTAGCTTGGGTGGACTCTTCTGATATACTTTTTGATGGTAGACCTTCATCATAGCTTTCAACCTTAACATGACAAGGTGGTACCCATGTGGAGGGGTTTTCTTGTATATAGCAATTCCATGTGTATAGCAATATAGCATTTAGACTTATATACCGCTTCATAGTGCTTTACAGCCACCTCCCTGGCAGTGAGCAGAGTTACCCTGCAATTCTGCATTCTAACCAGTGTGCCCGTCGTTGTAAGGTGGCAGCATTCTGCCTATTACAGATTATATCAAGGCTTCTGTAACTAATTTCATGTGGTTTCCAAACTATTTTGAAAATATCTGGTAAATGTAATTGCTTTCTTCTCTACATTTTACAAAGGATATTAAAAAAATAGATAGGATGATTTCACCAATTTTGGTTCTTCATCCATTCTTTGTTTCATTAGGAATATGGCCCTTCATAGAAAACATTTATTTATTTATTTATTTATGAGACTTATATACCGCTTTAAGTGCAAGCACTCTCTAAGCCAGCGGTTCTCAACCTATGGGTCGCGATCCCATTTGGGGTCGATCGACCTCTTTTGTGGGGTCGCCAAACGCGGCGATCCGCCATTTTGTCGCCTCCGGGGGCGCGCTGCGCCTCCGGGGGGCGGTGCCGCGCACGCGCGCCGCGCGTGGGGGCGGCGGCGCGCCTCTGGGGGCGGCGCCACGCATGCACGCCGCGCGTGGGGCGGCGCCGCGCCTCCAGGGTGGTGCCGCGCATGCGCGCTGCACGTAAGGGGGCGGCGGCGCACATGCGCACCGCGTGTGGGGCCCCGCCCCCATGCTCACCGCGCACTGGGGTGGTGCCGCGCATGCGTGCCACGCGCGGGGGCGCCCCCATGCGCGCCGCGCCGCGCATGCCCATAACGTTTGTGTGACGGGGGTCGCCATCACACAAACGTTGAGAACCGCTGCTCTAAGCGACGTACACCAGTAAACAATGTATATATATATTTACATTGCCCCCAACAATCTGGGTCCTCATTTTACCTACCCCGGAAGGATGGAAGGCTGAGTCAACCTTGAGCCGGTGAGATTTGAACCACTGACCTGCTGAACACAGTCAGCTAAAGTGGCCTGCAGTACTGCACTCTAACTGCTGTGCCACCTCGGCTCATTGGCCTCTCTGATCAAATTAATCCATGACACAATTGATTTCATGAGCAGTTTATTTATTCAGAGGATATAGATGAATAGTTTAACTGTATTCTATAAAATTTAGCAATAGATACTGATTGCTTAAAAACATCAATGAGTTGTCATTCTGAGGAATTAAAACTTGTCTTCTACCATTTTTTACTGCATTTTAAGTTCACTGTGTAATGTTGTGAATTGCTGTGTAATAGTGAATTTTAAGTTCACTAACTGGTGTTGCAGAAGCTATCCTATGTGATCTTCCCCAAATATAATTTATTGAATAATCAGGGATAGGCAAACTATGGCTTAATGTAATATGTATTTCTGGTTATTTGGAGATATTGAGATCAGATGAGATTCTTCATTATAACCCATGTTTTTACTATCTTTTGTTCATTATGTTCTAATATAGTTTCAATGGCTGAAAGGAACCAGTGATGGAGGGCACATGCTTTCTCTGATTACCATCTGCTAAGAACAACTGGAGGAAATGTCTACGTCCAGGCTTTAGGCTTCCAGAGATAAAGTTGGCTATACAATAGCAACCAAGATGCTGGCCTAGATGGATATTTAATCTATTTAATGAGCATTTTTATATCTCTGATGATTAATTAAATCAGTATTTTTATTTTCGAAGTTGATGTTCAAAGCAACTGGCTCCACAAATTCTAGGAAGTGAAAAAGGAACTTAGACTTGGAGTGATACAGTTCTTACTCATAAAACTTACTAATATTGAAGCAGGAAGTGGATGTTAATATTTTAAAAGTGAGTCTGAAAATTAGTAGCACAGATGCCAAGTGCATTACTCCGAAAATATGTTGTCCCTAGTTAATATTTGTCTAATGATAATAAGGTCATCTGATTTATTTTGACAGAAGGATTATAGCCTATCATATGGAAAGCAATCAATATGCCTCCAAAAGTAAAATAAAACGTAAAGGGCACATAGTATCAGTAAGAATGCAGACTAACTGAAAGAACAAGAACAATTGAATGAAATACTCTATTTTTGAACTGAAAAATGTACTACAAAGAAAAACAGGAAACATCATAAAAAGCAGACACACTACAGAGGAAAGTGTGTTGTTCACAGATTAGAGGGGGTTGTGCAGTTTACAAAAGGAAGTGAAACTGCATACAAATGAGTTCAGTTAGAATTGTTGGTAGAAACAACAGCATAGGAATATGCTGCTTGTTTTCATCTGCAGGGGGAAAAACCTAGTCTTTTCGTGTCAAAATTACCTAATAATCAGTTATGACACTATTTATCTTCAGCCAATAAATGTTTGTGTCATCATAATGCTAAACTAGTCTTCCCCAATCTAGCACCCCTAAAAATCATATTTAACTATGTATGTAATAGTAGTAAACATTCCTGAATTACAACTAAAATTCATAGAATTGACATCTGATCCAGATGTTATCTCATTTTTATGTAAGTTCAAGAATCCACTTTAAAGATCTGCCATACTGATGAATATGTATTTTCAAATTACAAGAAAAAATTATTAGTGCTTTTAAATAGTAAGCAGATGGCTTAAAAAGTAACAGTCTTTTTTCACTGGAGAATTTAAAGTAAAATTGTGTTTATCAAATATATTGTGGCTGTCTCTTGATGGAAAATATATTCCCCTCCAGCACTTCACTTTTTGATTTTATGGCTTAGAACCCTCAAGAACTACAGCAAAGTCTTCCGGAAGTTCCCATTGTATATGTTGATTTCACTGAAACCATTTTTATTAATCTTTCTTTCACTTATTTCTCATAATTCATGTGAAGGTTGGCTTCTGCTGCTTATGGAATCTGTCTTTAGCCTGTCTTATCCTAAGCATAAAACTCATCCCCCTAGTTTATGGGACAGTGGTGGCGAACCTATGGCATGGGTGCCAGAGGCGGCACTCGGACCCCTCTCTGTGGGCACACATGCCATTGCCCCAGCCTCACCTCCCCCATGACTCACTCTTCTCCAGCAGCCCCCCTGAAGGAGAGTACCCCTGAGCGTGGCCCACGTGGAGCAGCACAGCCAAGGACATGGCAGCCAGGCAGCGTAGACAAGACTCTACCCTCACACCCCATTGTGCACAGCTGATGCTGCAGGGCGCGGGCAGAAGGCGTGACCGCCATAGCGCTGCTGGGCTGCCTGGGAGATCTGTGGTGGGCCCTGGAGGCGGTGAGTGGCCCTGCAGGCAGGTGGGGCGGGGGAGGTGGAGTGGGGGTGGAGTGGGGGCAGAGCAGGGGCGGGGCCAGTTTTTGGGCACTCGGTCTCTAAAAGGTTCACCATCACTGTTATAGAAGAATTTGAGTTTCATGTTAATCTATCATGATCTTCGGCCCAAAAGAGGAAGCTATCTGAAAAATCCATAAGATGTTACATGAATCTCAAAGCAATGGTAACTATGCTGAAAATGAGCAGGAATGATATATGTTAAGTCACCATGTTTAATGAATACCAAAGAGCTTCTAGTTAATGCACAGTTTTATTAAGTTGATATTATAGTTGTTTTTAGCTCTTCTTTATTATGATGATATCCAAAACAATGACATCTTTCAGGTCAGCAGTTTTAGTATTTGGTTCTTATCCCTCAAGAATTCATCAGTTAATAAAATAAACTGTTATTTAATGCTTCTGTTGTAAATATTTACACTTAGATGTATACCATTTCTTTCTGGAGAATTCTGTGGTAACATTTGATCCATCTCAACTATGTTTTGGGTTTGTTACCAATTTTAATCTGCGAAATATAGTTGAGTGTAAGTATGAATTAAAGTTGAAGTGGATAGCTAGCAAAATATGCAGGTTTGTCTACATTAATCTTATTATAGAAATATTCTGCATTTAATTAATTAAATATTTTTCATTGCTGAAATTATATAATAAGCACATAAAATCAACAAGTGCCTCAGGAAACTGACTATGAGAACACAAAGAGCCTTGATCATCCAGCCAAGTGTCCATCAAATTCACTTTCTTTCTTATGCTACAACCAAGACATGAAGGAGAAACCAACAAGCCAATTAGGAGTATAGCACAATTTCACATGTTCCCTAATAACTGGAAGTGAATGATCTTCTGCTTTAAGTACCAAAGGTACAGTATTTATTTACCCAAAAGAAAGAAGAAAATTTTCTCTACCAAAATAACGACTTGTGAATTTCAGGAAGGGGGCATTTGTCTTATATTTGCAAAACAGAGGCAGATGAATTTAAAGAGAATATAATTATTAAAGAGAGAAACTACTTCTGATTCTCTGTGACTAATGATTTAAGACAATTCCTGTGGAGTCCATAAATAGAAAATCTATTTTATCTTTAGACTCTACATGCTTATCCTTGAGTGCTCTCAAATGGCAAATGTTCTCAACCTCACTATTACTATGCAATCATTCACTCTGTAAACCCAGAAGACTTTTTTTTTCCTGCCCTCTTTCTCTTTTCTTTTCTAAATTTGTCTCCAGGCCTTTCTTGTCTCTTCCTCATGCAGTTTTATTTTTCCCCACTCCATAAAAATATGTTCAAGAGTGGAATTAAAATATACTATAATATTAACACCTAAGAAAAACGTAAAAATGTTGAAAATAGTAAGGCTGCAGGTTTGATGGTATAACTGTTGAAATGTTAAAATATGGATTTGATTGTACGCATGGAACAGTTGTATAACATGCTTCATGTGTGTATAAGGAGCAGAGCTTGTATCATGACATCCTGAAAAACACATCATTTTGGTGGTGGAACCTGATGCAGATGTCTGGTTTACTAGAAACCTGTATTATTCACCCACTTGGGAAGATTTCTTCTCAGAAATCTGTGCCTATCCTTCATTTATTGGCATTTCCTGGAACATGGTAGAAAAGGTAGTCAGGCAATCGCTCCCAAGGACAAGCTGGACCAGTTTCAAACAAGTTTCAGGCCAGGGTAAAGTATAGAAACAGTACTGCCCTATGGAAGAGCTCAGGTGGGAATGGTGTGTCCTTCAATGGTACTTCCTGATCTCTCAGCAGCATAAATCAAGATATTCTTTAGATCAGATGGGGAGATTGGGAGCAGGGCTATCGGCTCCACCAGGTAGATCAGACCAGGAATCAGGTCATCTTTCAGTTCAGGGTTCAGTATCATCACTACTGTTTAGTTCTGACCTCAGGCCTTTCTCGTGATGCTGTCATTTTTTGAAAGCAGTGCATATCTGGACAGGGAAGAACAGTCCTTGGTCCTAACATGACCAAGTGACTGTATATTTAGGCCCTCTAGCCCTGGGCACTTTCACCTTTAATCTTGGATAAGTTGGTACTTGCCCATTTGAGACCCTGTGCACAATCTGGAGTTATTTTGGACTCACAGCTCCTGTTGTGGAGCTGTGGCAAAGAGGGCATTTATTCATATGATTTCCTGGATCTCCTTTCAGGCAGTCAGACACACCTTAATCACCTTGTGAATAAACTGCTGCATTGCATTCTCTAGAGGCTGCCCTTGAAGATTACTCAGGCACTACAGCTAGTCCAAAGTGTAGTGTGTGGGTAGTAGTAGGCATTCTGTGGTACAGCCATGTGACACATTGCTCCAAGAGCTGTACTGATTAACAGTTGGCTTCTGGATGCAATTCCAGATACCTAGAAAGGGGTGGTTATTTGAGAGATTGCCAGTCTCTGACAGTTTTTCCCTGTCCAGTGCAATTGAGTAGAATGGGTGTGCTTTGGGTATCATTTATTGAGACTCAGAAAGTTTATCTTCTCTGTGATGGTGTCTGTCTTCTGGAGCAGCATCACTCAAGAGACCCTTCAAGCTCTCATCCTGATGACATTCAAAAAAATCATTGAAAATCTCTCTCTTCTCCCAGTCCTTCTGTAAATTAATTGTTGAAACCTTGTGCTACATTTTGTTCATTATATATACAGTAGTTTGTCTTTTGGACACTTATGATCTGGTATATCTGAGTATATTGTTTTATGTTAAACATAAGCCCCTTAGAAGCATGCCTCTCTACAGATGGATTTATGTGTTGCAAATCATAGCATAATATGATGCATTGTGATGATGCATTAAATCAACATTTTCATGGACTGGAGCTGATATTTTGTTGCTTAGTGGATAAAGCAAGGTTAGGTGGTAGAAAAGTCCTTTCTCTAAGACAGGGGTCCCCAACCCATGGGCTGTGGTTCACTACCAGGCTGTGGCTTATTTGGAATCAGGACATGTGAGAGGTGAGCTGACGTGCACGTGCCCACATGCAGCTCAACTCACATGCATGCAGCTCAACTCATGTGAGCGGTGGGCCAATTCCCTTTCCCCCCTCTCAGGCAGGCTGCACCAAGCTACAAAGGTTGTGGATTGCTGCTCTAAGAGATCTTGAAAGAAGGATCTACATACCCTCACCATCAATGCCAGTATTGATTTTGTTTGTTTCTTTGTCGATTTATGGAGACACCATTGAGCCATTGCCAACTTTCAAAAATATACAGATTATCTCTGCACAAAATTATATGAAAAATAAACCAAAAAAACTGTCTCTCCAATACAAAGGTGTGATTTTTGTATTGGAGTCCAAAATTATTTTAAGAGACACATAAGTTGACAGTTTACTTGCTGTCCACTATTAGCCTATATCCTCTATATTCCAGAATACCAATGGAATGATGTGAACAATGTAAAAATTTCAAAAATGTTGGACATGGGGCAGGAGTAGAGTAAAGATATATTTCTTTTTCCAACCTTCAGTGCTGCAGATAGTGTTTCTAAACAGTTTCTATTAAGAAAAAGCAGCCATATTAAACTGTAAATTCAATTGTAAGCTGAAATAAGAAATAAGAAACTATTGTATTGCCATTATCCTGGAAATAAGTGTCATTACACTGCAATTATATGTACACTAAGAGCTTATGCACTGGAAACAAATTCCTTGTGTGTCTAATCACATTTGGCCAATAAAGTCTTCTATTCTATTCTATTCTATTCTATTCTATTCTATTCTATTCTATTCTATTCTATTCCATTCCATTCCATTCCATTCCATTCCATTCCACTCTACTGGGCGGCATTGCGCTTCTCGCCAGCTTTGTGCCGCCCGGCTCAGCCTCTCGGCGTTGTAAAGAGAGTGCCCTGCTGCCTGCCAAAACCAGGCAGGCTGGGGGCTGAGTGGCGTTGCGCAGGTAACATTGACTTTCACACTGCTCATGGCATCCCCTCCCCTGGAGCCCATCAAGCTGGATATGTGAAATAGGTGAGGGCATTTGCTGGCCTCTTCCAGGTGATGGTGCATTTCTTCATTCCTCATGAAGGGTGACACCTTCCCAGCTGTGTTTTTTGCCTGTTTTTCTTCCTCCCTCATCTCAAATATTTTCCCACCACTCTTATTCTTAAATAGGTAGGTAGGTAGGTAGATAGGTAGGTAGGTAGGGAAGGAAGGAAGGAAGCAAGGAAGGAAGGAAGGAAGGAAGGAAGGAAGGAAGGAAGGGAAGGAGATGGGAATAAGAAAGAGGGAGGCAGGGAAGGATGCAGGGAGGGAAATTGGAAGGAAGGAAGGAAGGAAGGAAGGAAGGAAGGAAGGAAGGAAGGAAGGAAGGAAGGAAGGAAGGAAAGAAGGAGGGAGGGAGGGAGGGAGGGAGGGAGGGAGATTGGAATGAAAGGGAGGGAGGGAGATTGGAATGAA